ATTTTCCATAATTACTAAATAGGTCCCCTAACTTTCATAAAATTACAAAATGGCCCAATTAACTTTCTAAAGCTTGTAGAACCTTTCAAACATCATTTCTAAGCCTAGGAAAAATTTTCACAATTTCCCCAATTAATTCATAGGGTCGAATATCATACTGGTTAGGGTTCTTGATTTTCACTTGATTCAAGCATGGATTCCAACTCTAAACAACATTTCAAGGCTTCTACAATCAAAACCATAACATAATTTAACCAAATCACAATTTTTTCAAAACCTTAGATCATGGCCAAATGGGATTTCACTAAATTTCAAGTAGTTTTAATCATCATACTAGCTTTAGAATTAATCTCCAAAATTAAAAACATAAAAATCTTTCATCAAATCCTACATAAATCCTAATTTCAAAACTCATCATATAAACATGATCTCCATGTAATATTTATATCAAATGATAGAGAATTTCAAGGGGATTAATTCTCTATCTAATAGCTTAATCCAAAAATCAATCAAATAAGCTTAAAAATGAACTTGAAAATTCTTACCTTAACATCCATGACGGTTCACGTTTACCCTTAATAAAATTTTCTATTTTTTTCTTCAATTAAAACATAATGCATTTGGTTTAATCTAATATAAATGAATTTAAAATTCTATTAATGTGAAATTATCATTTTACCCTTAATAAAATATGATAATTTCAACTTGCCATTAGAATATATTCCATTTTAATATTCTAAAGTCAAAGATGAACAAATAAAAATCTACTTTTCACCTTTGTCCTTGCAAATTTTCAAAAACTGTAATTTTGTTACTAGATTTTCCAATTTCAGATAAATATGTAAAATCGACTACAATTCTAATGATGCACATTAAATTTCACTATTCTAAACTTTGTAAATAATATTTTCAACCTTTATCTATTATCATTCAAATTTTCATAAAATTTCGGTTCGATATGATTATCCGATTTTCTTTCGGACTTTATTATTTTATAGCTTTTAACATAATTTCTAATTAAGATTATGATTCCCAAGAAATGTCATTCTTGAGATTTAACTATTCATTTACGGGTCAAAATACCTAAATTTTAAAAATTACTTTTTTGGTCCCTAAACTTTTCCAACTTTTTACTTTAATTGTTAAGTTTTCAAAATTTATTTTTTGGTCACTAACAAAAATTTGGGATATTACACACGCTCTTTGGAAACCATTCACACTTATGGATTTGGAGAACGACTATTTCCTCACTAGGTTCCAAATCGATACCGACTACGAGAAAGTGTTGGCGGAAGGACCTTGGATCATTTACGTCCAATACCTTACCGTGCAGCCTTGGTCGCGAAATTTCAATACTTCTCATTCGTATCCCACCACTTTTATGGCATGGATCCACCTTCCAGGTTTTCCTGAATTTATGTTCAACAGTAAAATTATTTTTAGAATTGGTATGCTTATTGGCAGGGTCGCGAAAGTCGACTTCCGGAAAGATACATATAACCGACGTTGGTTTGCGAGGGTTACTGTTTATATTGATCTTACACAACCCCTGATTTCAAAAGGTTATGGTTGGTGATAAAATTCAAGGTTTGGAGTACGGAAACCTTCCTTTGGTTTACTTCTCCTATGGTAGGTTCAGTCATTTAAAAGACGCATGCACTTTCTTTAATTCCCCCCCGATAATCGGTCAGAATGAGGCTATACCCATAGAGACACTCTTACCTTCGCCTAAAAATCATGACTCTAATATGCCAAAAAACATCCTCAATCCCTCTAATGATAATCCCGATCAGTTGGAAAATGGCCCTTATGGGCCATGAATGGTTGTCGAAAGACACCGCAGAAGAACAATAACTGGAAATACGAAAAGTCAGGCTGGTACGAAGGCACCCACTCCGATCAAACCCAGGCACTCCTCAATTACCGGGAATTCAACAAAAAAAGGGAAAGCCCCCCTATATCTGGGATGGAATTGGTAAAGAAATTAATGCGAATCCTCACTAAAAAGTTGTTTCCAAATCGGGAGCGGCCTCAAATCCTACGCCTAATTTATCGTCAACTCTTAATTCAGAGCAATTGATTTCCACGATCCAAGGCTTGCCCCATTTTAATGGTAACGGTCTTCACGTGGGATTACAAATCAACGAAGTTGATTTTGCGGGGCTCAACACTATTTTTATTCCCCCTAATCCTATTTTGTTTTGCTCCACTACCAGCATCCAACACATGGGTCCCTCCCTTCCACGTAACAAGCAGCGTGGGAATGGGGAAGCTGTCAGCGTGTCATTGGCTACTTCTATGAATCTTACGACCACTCACATGCATCATGAAACCACGCAAAACATGTCCAAGGTGAACGAGTCTGCCCAGCGTGCCCCCACACAAAACGTGACCTTTAAATTTGTTCCTGATCCAAGCACGAAAAACATATCTGCTCCCATTCCTAGTCTTACTACACCTTCTCATTTACCGTACTCCAACTCAGTTAACACGATCGGCTTAAATGGGGAACAGTTTACCTCGAAGACTAACCCGATTTCGATAACTCGACTGGGGCTAATGGTCAAAAGATCTCTTCATCTCTTAATCCTAACTCTCATACGGTTATAAGCTTTAAGGATGGTCCCCAAACCCACTCCTCTATCGGTCCTAATAATCAAGAGAGCCGGAGGAAGAATAATATCCCAAGAAACTGTGCTACCCCTTACGTGATTCGTAATAAGGGCTTAAAATACAAGACTCGAAACAACAATCGAATGATGGTAAAAGGAGCTATGGAAGCCGTGGCGAGCTTGATCCAAGAGCAAGATTTCGTCAATCAAAGTGAGAACACTAATGCAGATGCAACCATTGTCAGTCAACGTTGTTGATATTCCTTATTTTCCTCGCACCATGGACCTCAATCTTTTTGTTTGGAACTGCCAAGGGAGTGGTGGTATTAAATTTCCTAAAGTTTTCTCCGAATATATGCACGACTACAGACCCGATACTTTCTCGATTAGGCAAGCCTTCCCCTACCTCTCTGACTCGGTCATTAGCCGTCTTGACGCTATTGTCACTAGTGAGGAAATCCGTCAGGTGCTTTTCGACATAAATCCACTCAAAGCCCCGAGACCTGATGGTATGAACACCTTGTTCTTTTAGAATCAATGGAACACTTTTGGTCCCTCTGTCTGTGATTGGGTCAAAGGCATCTTTGATGGCAATCCTATCAAACCGGACATCAACAAAGCCCTTCTTGTTCTAATCCCCAAGACCAAGTCCTCAAGTCTTTCACGGACTTTTGCCCCATTAGTCTTTGCACGATTCTCTATAAATTGGTTATGAAAATCATCGTGAATCATTTCAAACCCATATTCTTGAAGGTCATTACCCCAAATCAAGCCAATTTTATAGTAGATCAAAGCATCACAGACAACATTCTCATCACCCAAGAAGTGGTTCATTCTGTGATGACCAAAAAAAGAAAAACTCAATAGATGGCCATTATGGTAGATTTGGAGAAGGCCTGTGATTGGGTGGCTTGGGACTTCCTCTCATACTCTTTAATGGATCGGGGCTGCCCTACCCGCATTCACAACATTATAATAAACTCTGTCTCCTCTTTCAACCTGCAAATCCTCTGGAATGACTCTCTTTCAGAAGAGTTTAAGCATACCCGGGGTATTTGCCAAGGGTGTTCGCTCTCTCCCTATTTGTTTGTACTTTGCATGGAAAGATTAGGCCATAGCATTCACTACGCTCTGACTCTTGGCCTGTGGGAGCTCATGATTCTTTCTTCTATCCCATCTATTTTTTGTAGATGACCTCTTAATCCTTTTTCAGGCCATTACTAATCAAGCAAACCTTGTGCGCGCTACCCTAGACCAATTCAGTCGTTTATCTGGCCATAAGGTGAACTCTAGTAAGACCATCATCTTTTTTTCTTCGAATGTTAATGAGGCTAAAGCCGCGAATATTTGTGTCACCTTAGGGTTTCAACGTTTGCCTAACCTTGGGAAGTATCTGGGCATGCCCCTTTTCCATAGCAGAGTCACCAAAAACATCTTCCAGTTTATCATCAAAAAGGTCCGAGGTAAGCTTAGCAATTGGACAACCTGGTCTTTATCCCTAGCTGGTCGGGTGACACTAGCCAAGTCCGTCCTTTTGTCTATTCTGAATTATTTCATGCAAACGGTGGTTATCTCTAAGAGTGTTTACGAACAAGTTGAAATGCTTGCTCGTAGATTCATTTGGGGGGAACCAATGAATCTAACAAACCAACTCTTGTTAAATGGGATGATTGTTGTCATGCCAACAACCATGGGGGTCTTGGTATCCGTCCCCTCAACCATCAGAATGAAGCCTTCTTGATAAAGTTGGGCTATACGTTCCTTATGAATACCAATACTCTCTGGTCTAAAATATGTCAGTTTATGTATAAGATCATGGATCTTGTTCCTATTAAGTTTGGGGCGTTGTTCTCCTTCATGCCGAAATCTGGTCCCTGGCTGATGGTCTTACAGTTGCCTGGGATAGAGGCTTTAGGAGGATCGAGGTGGAAACGGATAATAAAGAAGCGACTTGTATACTGTCATCGCCGGCCTCTTCGTTTGAACCCACCTTAATGCGGAGAGTTCGGTATCTTCTCCACCGGCATTGGACTGTAAAGACCAAGCACATTATCTGGGATGCTAATAGTTCTGCAAATGCGATAACTCACCTTGGATGCAGAGCATCGACTGAAAGAATCGACTTTGCCGACCCGCCAGCTAATATTCACCGACTTCTGCATCTAGATATGGATAAGTGGAGAAGAAGGAACCTTTGCTACTGATGTAGCCAACCTTTGTAACCAAAAAAAACAAAAACAAAAAATAAAATCCCCTCTTAAATTATAAATGAATACATATATTTTAGAAGTGTTCATATTTTTTATTTGAAATATATAAAGTTACATCATTTTTATATATCTTTTATATATGTTTTAATATAATTTTTTTTTGATAATTTGATTTTTATTACCCAAAGAAAGAGCAAATAACAGATACAACAGTAGGAAACAGCCCACCAACAGCAAATAAACAACACTCCCCACAATTGCCTAGGTAAAACAACTCAAAGAAACACTAAAAAAAAAGCAACAATTAACTGCAAGCAAAATTAAGGAGCAACCCGTAAGTAGCCACCGCTTTAGGAGCATCTCACGTGCCTGCAGACGAGAGACCAACGAAACAGAAGCAAACAACAAGCTAGTCAATGCACCAGTCGAGGCAAAGCTATGAATTAACCCTATCAGCTTTGTTGATGCTACAACCATGCAACTTAACACTAACTGTCCGTTTTATAGCATCAAAGACCTCATCAAGCACCCGAGAACAGCCTCTAAAGTGCCTGAGATTGCGTTCTTCCTAGACAAAATACAGAAGACTAATCCAAGCTAGCTTTAAAATGCAGACTAGCAAGGATTTTCCCTTAAAGTTGGTAGCAGCCCAGGACAAAGTATCATTCCAGCACAACCCCCTATAGTGAATTCTGCAAGTCTGCAGAATTTTACTCCAGAGTCCAACAACAAAGGTGCAATCATTAAACAAATGATCCCTTCTCTCAACCCCGTCACTACAGAGCTCACAACGCCCATCTAGCTCAATCCCCATATGAATAAGCCTATCCTTAGTAGGCAGACGGTTCAAAAAAACCATCCAAGCTACAATAGACATTCTAGGGATATGGAGAGGGAACCATATCAAGTGTTCCCAACTAACCTTCTCCTTCTTGTCTCTCAACTTCTCCCACACCCAATAGTTTTTAACCAAATTCCAGTCAACTACATTGCCAAACAAACCAGCAGCCTCTATTTGTAGCTTAAGCAACTTCCTCAAGGTCCAGCTGAGTTGAGGTTTGTAACCAGCCTCCCAGAAAGTGGCCCCCTTCAGGGCATATTCATTAACCCAGTCCACCCAGTATTTGCAAGGATATTTCTAATCAGTAAAAAACAACAAACTTTATTCCAGCAGCCCAGACTTTTTAGACCCAAGCCACCTTCAGGCTTCAACCAACACATTTGCTTCCAGCTGACTCTAGCCCCCTTGGCAGGAACATCATCCCCCTTCCAGAAGAACCGCATACAGAGTTGCTCAACCTGCCTAATGACTTTACTAGGCAAAATCATTTGCCTACACCAGTAATTGGAAATACTGAATAAAACAGATTGAATGAGCTACAGTCTGCCACCATAACTTAGCTTCAGCTTAGACCACAAAGCCAGCTTACTTCTGATCTTATCAACCAAAGGAAGACAGTCCTTAGCAGTAAGCTTTCTGGTAACTAATGCCACACCAAGGTACCTAACAGGAAGTGTACCCAATTTAAAACCAGTAGTAACCTGCACTCTTCTTAAAACATCCTCATGCACATCACAAGAAAACAGCTCAGATTTCCCAGCATTTAACTGTAGCCCAGACATCTTATAAAAGACCTCCAGAACACCAACAACACCCAAAATAGAATCCTCAGCAACATGGCAAAAAATTAATAAATCGTCAGCAAAGCTGAGATGAGTGAGAGGAACACGCTTACATTTAGGATGAAACCGAGTTAACCCTTCCTTGGCAGCAACGTTTAACAAATGGGACAACACATTCATAATAAGAACAAAGAGATAAGGGGACAGAGGATCACCCTGCCTAATTCCCCTCTTCCCTTTAAAGAAACCCACTAAACTACCATTAAATGCTACAGAATATCTAGCACCAGTGACACATGCAGTGATCCAATCTCTAAACCTTCCTGGGAGCCCTAAGGAAGCAAGAACATTCATCAAGAAGTCCCAAGACACAGAATCAAATTCCTTCCTTAAATCAATTTTTAGAGTGCACCTTGGGGAAAGGGAACTGCGGGAGTAGCCCCTAACAATCTCTTGAGCCAAGAGCGTATTATCAACAATACTACGCCCTTTAATAAAAGCTGACTGGTTTGGCAAAATCATACCAGGGAAGTAGCAAGCTAACCGAGCAACAATGATTCCAGTGATAGTTTTATAAACAACCAAGCAACAGGATATAGGACGAAAGTCTTTAGCTATACCATCATTTAGAGTCTTAGGCACCAAGGCAATTGCTGTAGCATTGAAGGCAGGAAGTAGAGTTCATGTCTGAATAAAATCTCTAATAGCAGCCAGAAAATCTTCATGGATAATATCCCAAGCCGTCTTAAAAAAATATGATGTATATCCATCTGGACCAGGGCTTTTTTCATTACCTTGCCTGAACAGAGAAGCTTTAATTTCTTTATTAGAGACCTCCTTGACCAATAAAGCAGCAGCATCACAAGGAAGCTCATATCCCAACAGACTCTTTAGGAGATCAACACCGTAGCTTTGAACACCAACATCCTCAAAACCAAGCAGTTCAGTGTAAAATCTCAACATCTCAACAGACATAGCATCAAATGAGTCCAACCGAGAACCATCTTCAGCGTAGAGCAATCTAACAATGTTACTCTTTCTTTTCCTCACTACAGTAGAGTGAAAAAATTTTGTATTTCTGTCTCCCTCTTTCAACCAATGGACTTTAGCTTTTTGCTTATAAAAAGAGGCTTCATCCACTTCAAGCTCCTGAAGCCCATTAAAGAGAATCTTCTCATCATCTAAGTGACAACCAGCTTGGGAAAGATTAGCAAGTTGCATCTGCTCAAGCTGGGCTCTTTTGGCCTTTACCCTACTTGAAATGTCATCAAAATTGGCTCCTGTTAAACTGCCTAAGTCTCAACTTAAGCCTTTTAAGCTTAGCAAAAAGGCAGAACATAGGGAAGCCAGACACGTCTAGCTGCCAAGACTCTTTAACAACACTCTTAAAATCTCCATGATTAGCCCAGCAATTGAAACACTTAAAAGGTTTGGGCCTGTCAGCCTGGTTATCCTTGAAAAAAGAAATCATAGTAGGACAATGATCAGAGACCCTCTGAGCTAAAAACTCAACAAAAGAATTTGGGAAATCTTCAAGCCACCGAGCATTAATAAGAGCTCGATCCAATTTACGAGCCAAAAAACTCCCTGCTTGCTTATTTGACCATGTATAGAGAGGACCCACATAAGGATGGTCAAAAAGCCCCAAGGATGACATACAGCTCCTACAAGCTTCTATTTTAGCAGTGACATAAGGCCCAAGGCTCTCAAAGTCAGAGCTTTCTTCAGCATTGATGAAAATGTTGAAGTCACCTCCTATAAGCCATGAAGCCTCCCCAACTAAACTTTCCACCTCTTCCAACTGCCTCCAGAGGTGAAGCCTATCAGAACCACTGTTGCTTCCATATACTGCAGTTAGGACACATCTATGGCCACCAATCTCACCAACAAAAGACAAAGATTGGTCAAAGACTTTCAAGACTGATAAGGTAAGAGCTTTTCTCCAGAAAATCCACAGCCTACCATTTTCAGAGTACTCATGATTTGTAAAACAATTCCAGTCTGAAGAATAACACTCAACCAACTTGCACACATTAACAGACCTCACACGGGTTTCCATAAGGCAGATAATTTCTACTTTGAGCTTGGGCATTCTAGCAAAAACTTGTTTTTGCTTTAGGGGGTTATTAAAGCCCCTAATATTCCAAAAACATATAATCATTAAGCATGGTTGGCCTCCCCCCAACAGTTTCAGCTACTGTTCCAACAACAGAACCCACTGACTTATCAACAAGATCTTTCTTTTTATGCTTCATTTCATTTAGGAGCGCAGTAACACCCATGGAAGCCGCACGAGGCTTCCTACCTCCTTCTAAACCAGCAGCTGCCATCAAAACCTCAAAACAATTATAAGAGCTAGCAAATTGCTTTTTAGCTTTATTCTTGACCTTCTTTTTCTGAGAAGAAGCTTGCAAAGGAGGAAAATCAACTGCATGCTGAGCAAACCCCTTATTGACAACATTTGCTTCATTGACCAGGTCCACAACCAACTCATCAACCTGAGAATTCACCCAATTATCCAGTCCTTCTCCAGCAGGTTGACAAAGCTCCTGCAAAGCCTCAATTCCACCAACAATAGGAATTTGAGAACAATTGTCCTCCCCACAATTCTCCAACCTTTTTCCAGAAAGTTCATTATCTACCTGCAAGACCTTTGCACTATCAACAGGAGCAGGAACAGGACAATTTACATCCCCTTTCTTCCTCCATACCTGAATCACAGCAGGTTGGGGCATGTGCACATCAGGACAAACCTTCTCACTATGCCCAAAAACATTACATCTCTGACAGCAAGGAGGAACCCAGGGAACCACAACCCTAATCGAGACAGCAAGTCCATCCTGTAACACAACATCTACAAATTTTGGGATGGAATCTCTCACTCCAATTTCAATGCAAACCTTTGCATATTCCAATCTAGTCCTGGAAGTAGTCACCGAGTCCATAGACAAAGTCACACCCAACGCATTGGCAATATAGCTTAATCCAGTACGTGAGTAAAGCTCCAAGGGAACGTTGTAAAGCTGAACCCATACGGGGATACGAGAGAGATCAAACTCTAAATGCTTCATACTAGGTTCCCATCTCCTCAAAATCAAAGACTTATTCTGAATATGCCATGGCCCATTATCTAAAACCCAGTCACGAGCAAATTCAGAGCAGAACGAAAAAACAAACAAATTCCTACCTGCAAAACTGACCTGCACACCCGAACCCGTGAGACCCGCCTTCCATAAAATTTCCACAATACGCTTCACAGAGGCTAACGGAGGACCTAGCCCAAGAAATTGTCCAACCAAAGACAATTTCCACTCCGAGATACCCGCCTCAAGAACCTCCGAAGGCGGATGAACCGAAGGAACCGGAGACCCTTCTCGAACAATTTGGGGGGAAAACTCCAAGGTCAGCTCAGCAGTGCTCCCGAAGAGCTTCCGCCAATCCATCAAACCAGAATCCATCCTAAGCTAAGAACCAAAGAAACAACAAAACGAGAAGAAAACGATCGGAAATCTAGTGAAAACCGTCAAGAACGCACCGGAAAACTCAGTTTTCGTTAGCCCTGCTAACGTACACCCAGAGAAAACCGTTAACGTGCGCCTTCCAAATATAATTTTATATTATATTATATTCATATTATTATTTTATCTTAAATTTATTTCCCAAGTCATAATGAGCAAGGAAGAATCCACAATTAATGTGGGACGGGTCGTCCAATCTTTAAGTTAAACTACATCTTAATCTTTATAAAAGTGTTAAAACTATGTAAATTAAGCTTCGTCTCTTTTTTTAAAAAATTTGGTTCAGTTGTTTCTTATATTTTTATTATTTTTGTTTAAATACTTTCTAGATATTTATAAAATTTAAAACTAAACAAATTAAATTCTAATCTGAGTTTTTAAATTTTAAGTTAACAATTAGATTTCGATCTTTTATAATTATTATATATATCTAACTGTCATACTTTTGTTTTGTTATCTAATTTTGTCTACAATAATAAATATGAATGAATTGAGAGAGACGGGTGGAAACAATCATCTTTTAAAATTTTAAAATTATCATATATTTTAGATTTTTCTTTGTATTTTTTTTGTTGACAATCTATTTTCGCGTCTTCCTAGAATTTTTAAGTTTATTTCTTCAAAAATTTTAAAAAATCACATTAACATAAAATCTCGAGTTCATCTCTGATAATGAGGAGTATATTATATTTTAAATGATAATATAAATTGACGAAGATCGTTGACAAGTAATTAAATACCTACCGGAAAAAGGTTTTGGTGCCAAAATAATAAGATCGGTTGCAAAACCAAATAACCAAACCATTACATTAAGTTATGACTCTTATCGTAGGTGGAAAAAACAATTAAAAACGAGGCATCGTTTTCACGTACAGTTAAGATATATATATATATATATATATTTGTTGCAGCTTAATTTGGTGTAGAACTGGAATTGTTTATTGTTAATTAATTTTGCTATGCCAAACTAGTGTTGATATAAATAGTTGGGATTAAAGAACTTGAATTTGTAAGGTTAAGTTCAAATAATACCATTGACACTTTTGATGGACAATTTATAAATTCCTATATAAATCTTATTGGATTTTAGGTATGCACTGACCTGGACTGTGAGAGTCACTCTTGACCTAAACTTTATTGTACCCAAAAAAAAAATTTAAGTTTGCTATGATGAAGTAAGCTCTCAGTGAAGCACAAGTATTTGTGAGTTCAAATTAATTAATTTAAACTGAATTTTATATAAGTCGTTGAAAAGATTATTCGACTACATTATTTATCTTTTTATTTTTATGTTTATCCACTCTTAGACTTTGTCATATGTTTATACACATACTAGAAAATAAAATAATAATAGATATTTTTTGGCCACTAAAATTAGCCATATTTATAGTTAAGTTAGAGGTCACTAATTACTTGTTTAAGACAAACAATTTGGTGGCCGCTAATTATTGGCAAATTTATGTTGATTGACGTACGTATGAAGATTAATCAGCATTGAAGACTTGATCCCGTCTGTCTTCACCAAATGTGAGCTAATTTATTCATCATTAGTTTCACAAGTTTGCTCATATGATTGTTGAAGTAATTGAATCTACTAGATTGTGCATGCCTAGTTACCTACAAGTCTCCTTTATTCTGTTGAAGCCTATTGGCCTGAGATTATAGTAGTGTTAGAATTTCTAATTACCATTAGATGAATTCACAAGGGAAACACCATCACGAATGGAGGTTGGAACAAGTAATTGACTTGAGGCTGCAGAGAGTAATGCAGTTGAAAGTTTCAAACCCCTGACAATGCCCTAAATAAATATCAGGTCCCTTTGCTTTACCCTAAAAGAAACGTGTGCAAGTCAGTATCTTCCTCGATGGAAGGAATTCCGACACATATTATTCCTCATTACAATCTCTGCACGGATAGTCCAAGATCACCCCTTCAACCTCCCACATATGGGAATTTGATTACCGTTCTTAGCATTGATGGCGGGGGCATCAGAGGGCTTATTCCCGGAACTATACTTGCCTTTTTAGAATTTCAGCTTCAGGTAGCTTCAAATTTTGATATTTTATATATGTTTTGCTTTGTTTTCATGAATGAATTGAGGTTTTGGGGTATATATATACACAGAAGCTGGATGGTGAGCAAGCGAGATTGGCTGATTATTTTGACGTCATTTCCGGGACTAGTACGGGTGGCCTCGTGACCGCCATGCTGACTACCCCAAACCCCAAAGAAGGGAACCGCCCTCTTTTTGCTGCCAAAGATATCAAGGATTTCTACCTTGAACACTGTCCTAAAATATTTCCACAAGATACGTGGTAATGTCAGAGTAACAAGCTAGAATAAGTTAAATATGAATATAAATCATTTCTCAATCAGTTATAAAGATGATTTTCCGTTCAGTTGTCACTTTGAACCAGCTTCAAGTATGGTAAAATCTCTAATGGGACCAAAATATGACGGTAAATATCTGCATGGTATTTTGAGGGAAAAGCTGGGAGAAACTAGATGGCACCAGACCCTAACAAATGTTGTGATCCCAACTTTTGACATCAAGCGACTCCAGCCTAGAATTTTCTCCAGCTATGAGGTGCAAGAATACATGAAAAATGATTTATTTTTTTTGGTCTAATGCCGTTTTGAACTCTTTGGAATTTATGAAATTTCCATCACGTAGGTAAAGATGGATCCTTCCACAGATGCTC